CTAGGCGACGAAGAAAGTGACTGTCGAAATGGGCCATGTAGGTAGATGCAAACTACCTGGCTGAAGTCTGTGTAATTATCCTAACCAATGATTAGAGACTTGGATTGAAATGGTTCAGAATGGTCAACAACAGCCTAGGTCCACACTTTTTCTATTCCTTTGAATTCGAAGTTTCTAAATTCCTCAAAAATTTATCTACTAACCTTTCATCTCACTATGGATTCGTATGTTCGATGCCTAATATTTGCTATCACCACTGATACTGTTACTGCCTCGATTAATGTTGGATTTGCTTTGATTATATATATATATATATATATATATATATATATATATATATATATTTGAACAAAATGAATAGAAAATATACTAATGATAATTGGGGGTTAACATCATGATATCATGTGAGAACGTGTATTGACCAGTAAAATCCTTTGATAAGGTGTATCCTATCGATAAATGATTTGATGAGTTCCGAAAACCAAATCATGTCCAGTTACATCCATTTAAATTAAAGAGATTCTATATGTGTATTTTAACTATTCTTTTCATTCACAATTATGAATTTTCTAATAAAACACTGTTTGTAAATATGACAATAAATTATTCATGAATGATTGCAAGTAATCCTTTCACTTAAAAAGAGAAAAAATTTATTCCAGACAAAATCTTCTAAAGACACTTAAAAGTCCAACAACAAATGTATTTATCAATGGCTTAGTGATGAATTGCTTTCTATCTTTCTCGCCGATTTATTATTTCATTCTTGATTTATGCATTTCGGTGTATTCAAACAAAATGATTGATCAACAGTCAAGCATTTAACTTCGGATGAACGACTATTTCATCGAAAGTTGTCTCTATCTACATTGTAAATAAATTTCAGTCAAAATGGATTGGGACAAATAAATCCAGTGCAAATTTCCATAGTTTCTTTTTTTTAGAATTTACTGAATTAAAATTATGCTTACAACGTTAAAAAAAGATAAGTATTTAAAGAAATCTAATTAAAATTAACCGATCAATCATAAGTGATTTCCTATTGAACATTTGACTGCTTTGCATAATATATATGCACTTTACCATTTAATTTAATCTGTTTCTGTTTGTACAATCACTTTTTGTGAAATCTAAAAGAGATTTTATGTTGAGTAGTTTCGTCTTTCAAAAATCTAACTATAACTTTGCATTAAATGGAGATCATTGTTTATATTTGATAAAAAATATTCTACGCTGACTCATACATTTTTATCGGATTAAAAGTGAAATATCGATGTCGAAGATATGTTTGTTAACTGTTAATCTCTTATCAGAGGTGGATAAATTTCAATAGCTTTAATCGAATATGTTATAAGTGGTTCTTCTTTGTACAGGCTATATGTAACCATAGTTACATAATGACAATAACCAGAGAACGACTGAAAATCTGAAATTAATTGACAACTATTTTGCTGAATATTGGGATTCCTCAATAGTCTACACATAAATAGTGTTCATGTGTTGACTGTGCATAAAAAATGTTCTGTATCATAAAATCACTCTTACCAGAGTCCTGTAAGGTTACTACTGGTCCCAATTCTGGGAAAAGGTGGAGAATTGGGTGAAGGGTTAACGGATCCTCGTTGCAAAGACGCTAACCATAAAACATCACTTGGACTATGTTCTTGGAGTTGAAACTCAATCATATAAAAAAATTACAAGACTTTATGTCTGAAGCTGAGATTCTTCAGATGTCATGAGTTTGACTGCCGTCTCTGACATACACAACAACAATTAGCATGGGTTGATGAGTTGCCTGAAAATCATCATCATTCAAAAAGAGGCGAAATGAGAAACTGCATACTGGCTCTGCTTTTAATGAAAGGAACTTATTCGATAAAACCTAGACAGAAGAAGATGATTTCAGTTTATCTATTTTTAGTGTTTTGTTCATAAAGAATAAAATAACTAATTCTCGAGCCAGGAAACTCCAGATCTTTCAGCCTAAAACCTTCCTCAACAACCTGCTTTGGCAAGGAATAAATCAGCTGCCAACTTAGGAGGAAATTAAGCAAGCATTAGGTGAAATCAAAAGGCAAACCCTACTGAGGGACCCTCAAAGCCATAAGAAGAGATTTAGACCAAAGAACACATTCAAAAAGAAAACAAACTATGACAGACTATCAGCAGCACTTGAAAACAACTGGAAAATAGTGGCTGTGATAGAACCACTTGGTTATTCACGGTTGGGGTCTATGCGCCAAAAAGGGTACCAGACTGAAGCAAGTAAGCACAATACAAATCGACAAAAGGCATAAATAAGAATTTAGCAATCACCATTTCGCCTTCTGACTAAACGTTTCTGAGTATAAACAGTGTTGGGGAGCTTCAGAGGACAAACGAATGGCTATCTAGTGCCTTATAATATTCAGTGATTGTTTAAATGACACCAGTATTTTGATAAAATATTATCTTTTATCTATTTTATGTTTTAAAATAAGTACTACTTCTACCATACTAACACCAGGACACATAAGAGTCTTGACAACGGCTTTCAAGATATAAATCAGCTAACATTGAAAACAATTGCGAAACACGTCCATAAAAAGTGCATTAAGATTTCAAAATCACTAAGAGACGAAAAAATAAATGATCATTGTAGTCAAATTGTTACGAAAAACCTTTATTAAAGTTTGATAATTAGCTCCTAAGCAAGTGGTATTTCAAAACAATGATCGTGACTCAAAATATTCCAAACACGTAAATAATTTGAAAGAGAAACAGTTTCTTGTCGACCTATTGAAAAAAACTAAACTGGTGTAAATTCAAAGTTATTAAGTGTAATAATAATATAGTCATGGATATAACAAACTAGTGTCATTAACAAAAATTTGCTGAATATTATTAATTACCATATTAAGTAGTTAAATCGACAAGTTTAATTCTGGCAACAGTCAACTCAAGCATATCAAGTTGTCTTTTACATCAATAATACGTTAGAAAATGTAATAGTAAACTGCTAGCAACATATGAAACATTCATTTGGTAATTTGTGAAGTTTAACCTTGAATACATATATATATTTTTTTAATTAATGGAACAGATTTTTTTATCAAGTTAGAATACAAGGTAGACATAAAATGGAAACATTAGGTTCAGGAACTATAGTTCCATTACTGAATCGAGTAATGATTAAATTATCGCCATACGATTGCATCGTAAAGCAATCCCTAATTTGAAATCCTCAATGATAGAAGAATACAAGGATCCAGTTAGACCTTGACATGATAAAATGACAAATAAAGCATTGGCTACTACACGACATAAAACGATGCAGCGTTATCCGATGTTCACAAAATTGAATCATCGAAATAACATGGCTAGACAGCAGGGTATATGTGAGTTCAGTCTTGCTTGTATGAGCCCTAAAACGTGTAAATCAAAAAGAACTACCTTAATTTAAATTTGGCACTAAAAGGTTTTCTTAGTCTTAAGCACAGCGAAATTCCAACATTAAAGTTGAAAACTCCATAGCTGTATGAAAATCTTGAGAAAAGCCTTTCTGATTTTCACTGGTTTTAGAGTTTAAGTTAATCTGTGAGATAAATCATATTGGAACCGAACAATCTCTCACAATCGAAACGGTATAATATTTTTCACTATTGTTTCAAATATATTTATTTTGTCTTAAAACTAACCAACATATCTATATGATTGTTACTGATGGCCTGAACTATCATGTTGTTAATGTACCAGAATAAATTATCCTGAACCATCTCAAATAATACGGGCTACTGAAATATCCATTAAAATTCAAGATATCGAAAATATAATAAATTCCAAAACTCTTTTTGTCAGTAATACTGTCTTTATCGTTGTAGAAACAAACGTCGTTAATTTCAAAAGCCATTAAATGTATATACATTAAATATTTTTAAATGTTCAGGGACAAGATTCCCTAAAATTAGTAGCTCCAACTTGTCATATGTAACTAGTCTGACAGACTTACCATTCATAAAAGTTTATATGTGTTTGTGAAATTCAGATGAGATGAAACAAGAAATCCTTGACTATTGGAAGGCCTTAAACACCCATCCATACTTGTGTTCACTAGAATTTCTGTAAATTCTAGTTTTGAAATGATTAAAAAAGCATCCACGTGTAACTAGCAGTTGTCATTTGTTGTTCCGTGAAATGAATCATTTTTAGAACAATATAAGCGCACACAGACATTGCTAAATTCGCTTACAAAATTGATTGTTCGATAAACAACTCAAATGTAAGTATGACGTTTTTAATGTGGAATATTTGTTACTGAAGAAGGTAATAGCATACTTTAGCAAGTGGTGATGGATACTGCGCTAGAGCTATACTGTCTGTTTTGACTGCATTATATCGTTTAAAACTTCATACTTATCAACCTTATTTTGAGACTGAACCATGAAATGATAAAGCAAACGTTATTTTAGCTCTTTTGTCGTCAAACAGACAAAGAAAATAGCGAATATGTGGTAATAAAGCATCTTTCGAATACTTGTTTGTTTCAAAGTTAGTACAATCTATATCATATAAATTGCCTGAAGTCGATTGATTTATCAATCAAGTTACTCAATGATTTAGTACCTAAAGATTCTTTAATTCTAGTAGATGATTCTGCTTATGAATGTCAATCTTAGGATCTTTAAACACGTTGTCTCGAATCGAAATCTCTTACAAATCATAAGTGTACAGCAACCTGTTGATGAGACTTTAATTCAAGGAAGTTAAAGGTAGTAAGTTTTAGATTTTAACGAGAAATTGATCCACCTGTACAGCTTGATAGCATCATGGCACAAAAAATAACGTTAGTTCATCGGTAAAAAACTCCCTAAGACAAATTCTCTCAGTAGCTGAAAACTCTTGCTTCATCTCAAAATCACTGAACATCTACCAAAGTAGTCTCGCACATCTTAAGATATTATATCAGGTTACGAAAAAGAAACACAAAGCTGAGGAAAATATGATAATAACAGTTCACTCACGAAATATTGGTAATTTTTCAGGCTGTGGAAAGCTTAATCCCATCGAAAGTGCTTCTTGTACTGCCAACTGACATTTCCCTTTGGAAAGATTTTTAGCACATGTGTTCAGAAACAACACAATAACGACAAAAATAAAGGATTCTTGTTTTCTTGAAAATATAAACCGGATCATAGTTATGATCGTATCAATCCTTATAGCCAAAGTTTATTAACATTGATATATGTGACGTTTTCAGGTATGTATGTTGAAAATGTAACATTTTTATTGTTTGTCAAAGGTTAGTAAATTGACGGGAACAAACAAAGTAGGATTGCATACAAATCCGTATCTGGGATGTTTTCATGTTGAACTAATCCTGGGCCGCAAATATTTTACTGTGATTATACGTATCGCAATAAATTTAGATTATTATACTGTAATATCCATTATCCAACAGCCTCGAAATTGCCATGGCCTCGTTGACTTCCCTCCATTTACAGGTAACAATCCATTTTTGGATACCAGATTGAGATATTTAATCACTTCCTAAGATATAAGAGTTGTATCCATTCACGGGTTGGCAATCGGAGTACGAATTCGTACAAACAGAACCATTCCAAGTCAGAACCACAGTGCGATAAGTCTAGCTGTCTTTATCAACCGCTCTCCTCCTAGTTGCTTCAGCAGGATACAGAGATGCATTCTTTCGTAGTTGTATTTTTATGTACTACTAAATTCTTACTTTTAAAACTCTTATTTCGTGAATTTTACCCTCTTAAATGTTATGTTTTCTCAGGTATCATTTAAAGTAATAAAGTTGTTAGCACATATTATTCTACAACAACCGGGAAAACTTGTAGAGGTTTGGAACTCGGGGCCAACAGTGGGTCAAAAATCCAAGTTTCGAGCGATGGGGTTGTGAAAAGGTGAAACCGTCACTCGAAAGCATTCCTCAGGGCAGTGTTCATAGTTTGGATTACTCTACTCAAACACCACTAGGTCTAAAACAGAGGAACCAAGACATCACTCCTCTGAATACCATTCCATAAAAGACCAGTAGGCTAAATATGAAAAGGAGAGAAAGGCGTCGCAAAGTTCAATCAACACAGTCTGTTGTACAGAAAAAGCCGAAGGATGACATTCAAAATCAATGACTCTGCTTTTGAATGTAATTTCTGTAGCAAATAGGTACATTGTTACTGTGACAATACAGTACCTAAAGAGTTCTATGGGTTCATATTGAGCGAACCCTCTGCGTGATTGTAGTGTATCTGTCCACGGTGCACAGCGACCCAGGTGTGGAGATGGTATGACAAACTTATTTTGTATTTATTCTGTTAATTTTCGACTGCTTGTACATTTACTATAAAATGATTGTACATGCTGTTTAAGTGTTACCTTGGATACAAGTAACGTTGACTACTCGTTTCTTCCGTTCTTTTGTACACATAGCACGGCACTCAATGCCTGAGCCTATCAAATACACTTTATACACACAACTTATGTTCTCATTCGTTCATTAATATGCTAATTGGATTCTAATACCTATATTGTCTACATCTATAGAATGCAGTCATACGTATAAGCTACCTTACGGATATTTACATTAATTGTATTACTAACATTTCTATAACTGTGGATTTATGGCACCAATAACAACCGAACACGCACAAGCAGCCGTATAAAGTAACGTCCTTACATTTTTATTACATTTATTACATTTAATCGATATATTTCAATATACATCTATTTGAATTCAATAACTTTGTTGATATTTTAAAATAATACATTGATTAGTCCACCACACAGGTATTGGCACAACCGCAGGCCCCACAGCAAATTAACTCGAAAGTCTATCAAGTAGACTAGGCCTTCACACATACATGGCTATTTGCATATCTCGGGCTGCCTTGCCGTCACACCTCACGTCCATTAAGTCACCATGTCTGATGGCTATGGAATTCCGGATGAGTAAGACCTAACTAAGGCTCTTTCAGGTAAGTATCACTCCAGGGACCGCCTCTCTAGCCACAGGTATAGCGATAGCCGACTGAGATCAGCAAGACAACAGCAGAGAGGCCAAAAGAAACACACGAAGTTGAGAGTTGACCTTGATAAACAACCAACGACACAAGACACTGAGATAATGGTCACCCCGACTGAACTCACTGCAGAAGCAAAAAACCACCAGAGGCCATTTCCCACACAGCTAGCTAACTCCATTTGAACAATTTGCTTAAAAATCCTACAACGGCTGTTGCTGCAAATGTTCATGAGGTTCTGATTCAAACCACCAAGTGCCTCTGTAGCAACGTATGATGACTAAGGGGTAAGTTGTTAGAAATCAAGAATATAGGCTTTCAGATGGATCTGAAGATCATAATCCGAACTGGAACATGGCCACCCCCTGACATTGCAGTCGATGAAGAAGCTAAGAAGGAGTTACACACTTGCTAAGCGATGGGGTACACCGAAAAGGAGGCGGAGTTACGGTATATCCACGCAGTAATTTAAAAGCAAGGCGGCTGAAAAACACACAATTAATGATGTGAAAGGATCACGTGAGTGTTGCGTTCGAACAAAAGGAATAAAATACCTGAGTGCAGTGATCTAATTGACACCATAGCGTACACAGGAACAGAAGGATTAATGGACAGTGAAGATATTGCTATATTATTATTTGACTGAAAAATAAAAATAAAAAATAACCTCATTTAGCCACATGATGGTACTCTACTTGTAAATCGATTGGGGGCCTCGACCTATCTTTCCGTCCACATTAAGACAACTGGCCCCTTTCAGTTATTGTGGACCCATGTCCCTCGGCTCGCTGGTACGTACGATGACCATCCCGACATAGTTAATGATGCGTGGGGTTGTTTGGGCCTTCTTATGTGTTGCTGGTGGACCCTGCTAGCTTCTGCAACAAAATCCACAATCAATAGTCGTACTTCGCTACAAGCTGTGTTATGTAATTACAGTTCTCTCAGATGATTCCATGTTTCATGGATGTTGTGTAGTGGAACTTCGGTTTTTTTATTTGATTGAGTACCAACCTCTAAGCCACTAGGCATAGCTGGTCGAATAATCTCAAATTCAATGATTCTTAAGGTCCGGGAAGAGGTCCCGCCTATGGACAGGTTGCCGTCCCGGATATTCCAAGTTATTCGACTACATCACCTAATCGTAAAGTTGTGTCCGGTCTGTTGTTCAGTAGAGCATAAATGCACGAAGAATGATCTATCCAGTCACATTGATTCTCACGGAGCTGAACAATCGGATTAAATCGTCGTGTTAGAAAATTGAAGTTGTAGGCTGTTCTAGAGGCACACCAGATAATCCAAAAAACCATCAGGAACCTGTACAGCAACGTAAGAGGACAGAAATCAGAAACATGTGCTAGTTGTTTAATCTGAAGACAACAACATATGGAGCTTGTCTATCCCCCCACACTGCACACGACGAAGTAAGCTTGCAAAATATGACACCCTTCTAATTGGATAGGATACAGAATAACAAGAAGGGGAGTGTCGATATATATTAACGGCCATTTCAAAGCCTTAACACTGCACAGTGCTCAATTAACTGAGGCGACAGAATCGTGTTGGTGCTGACTGAATATGGATGGCACAAAATACTTGATTGGGGGGATTCGCCATCTTCCCTCAGGTCTTTAATTCCAGAAAGGTAGGTCAATCTGGTGATATTGAAACCACCACACCTTACGTTTAACCAGGCGCTACTAGCAGGAGACTTTAACACTGTCCCTACATTTCAGCCGACAAATTACGTCTCCCTTGGAGTAGTTCCAAAACAGGTTTGTCACAGCTATCGGAAGTCTTGGACAGCCTGAACATATGTACGGCACTACGAGAGGAGGTAAGGGCGAAATACACCCAAAATGTGATTGTTTGCGGACAAAAGATCAGCCTCTTGTCAATGATGTACATGATTGCGCATCAGTTGAATGAACTGACCATGGCAGAATCATGTTTAACGAACAAACAAACGAAATAACTTGAAGAGGCGAGGACTACACTGCCATGAGAGAACATCCACACCCTTCATGGCCACGAAAATGGTGCAGGCTAACAGTAAATGATCACTGAAAGACAGTGAGCGGAATTATTCAGAATCCCTGCGTTTACAAACTATTCCAGGCAAATCACACACCTGGAATGAGACCATGGGTTAACCGAGGAACCGAACGGTTGTTACAGGTGAAAAGAAGAGCCTGGTACAGTAGGAAGGTCTCTCTGAAGGATTCCGATCGGAGGTTTTGCTTGTCAATGAGAAACAGATGCAATGTCAAAGTCGGAAGTGATTGGAGACATTCTAGATGAAGCTAGCTGTCAGAGTACAGCCAAATCAAAGTATTTGTTTAGGTTCATGACCATCATTATCACTATTATTAATAATATTATTGTTAGTATTATTGTTATTACTATTATTATTAGTAGTAGTATTATTGGAGTGTTTATGTTCTCAAAAGTTCAGATGGTGAATATTTCGTCAACCTTGAGATTGCTAAAATCTTCAACAACAACTTCATCGATCAGTAAAACTAGATACCTTAAAAGTTCGGACTACTACTCGAACCTAGTGCCAGCCGATGGGTTAAGGAATATCCAACCCACTCCTGACTTAGTACTAAGAGAACTAAAATCAATGTTTTACATTCATAGGCGTGTACGGTAAGCCATATCGAATAAGGCACTTTATTAGGAAAGGTCTCACTTAACATTTCGTCTTTGATGTTTCTAGACACATATATGAGACAACCACCACCATTTTTGAGCCTTCGTTATAGCTAGAGAGCTCATAAATGTCTATTAGAAAGTATGAGTCAAGGACATCGAGGGCCAACCAGCTTTCGGTGGTCAGGACAGATGAATAGTTGCTTAAAATAACTAGGGAGCGTAAACGAGCCATCTTATTGATTACAGGTTGGGAATTATTTAGCATCACTGTTACAGAGAGGCATGATGTGCATCTGAGGGATTGTTTGCTATGTCGTGGGGAGGGTAGGAGATCGTGACCCAGAATTTAGTCTCTTTACTATGCTTTCTGTGGTACCTATATAGTTGATGTCCACCGGATAGCCCATCTGTTCTAGCGGTATGGAACAATCATCCATTTTGATTGCTAGTGTGCACAGGATTTCTGCGTCGTTCTGTTCTACCCTCTAAATCTCATAATTCCACGTTTGTAAGCGCTAAGTATATAGTATGGGACCGAATGGTAACTCTTTTCGTC